AAGTTCAGTAAAAGAATAATTTTGTTGGGTTTCTTTTCTAGACATTAATATTTATTTCCTGATAATGACTAAAACTAGTGTTATTGTGTAGAGGAGGGCAGTTTTTTTTAAACCATCCTTTCTATGTGAGAAATACCCAGTGTGCCACTATCTCATCTCATCTTATTTATAAAATATTACTTTGTGATTTTTCAAGTAGATCTATCATTTTGTTGTGAAAAGCACAGTTGAAAAAACTAAATTTAGTTGATCTTCATTTTGGATAAAAATGAAGATTGCCTGGAAGTCCCTCATGGACTCTCAGAGACCCAAATGACTAGGAACTGATGGACACTCTCTTAACAAGACTAATGGGAAACCTCAATTTCCTTGTTGCATGTGAAAGGCACCACTCCCCATCTAATTATTCTCAAGAGAAGGACCATAGAACTGATAACAGCTGTGGAGGTGATGTCCTCGTTGGCTATTCTGGATGCTGAAGGGACTAGTTTTTCAAAGATCTTTTAATAAGTGTATTTCTCCGGATGGTCACATAAGAAATACTAGCTATATTGCAGAAGCTAGCAGGGTAATGTGTAATAATCTTCATTCCTTCTCTGCAGTTAGTCTGAAAGGGAAGAATCTGTTAACTTAGAGAGGAGATAGTCTTTTGATAGTCATTAGCACTTCTGCCATAGTAAGGGCGAAAATAACACCCTGGGTAGAAAGCAAAAATTCCACAACTGCCAATTCACATTTTGTCATCTTTTATTTCCTCTCTGCACCACTGCTCGATAGGCTAGGTTGCTCATTTGTTATAAGTGTGAAACCAAGATCGTGGTTTGATAACTTACAAGTCACTGGTTTCTTAAGAGGCAGCATGTACGGATACGTGCTGGCTATCATTTGGATAATGGATCATGTGCTGGATATCATTTAAGATGATGAAAACAAACAAAAAAAATCTGTCTCCAGTAGTGATTCCCTATGTGAACTTGAGTAAGTCACAAATTATCCTTTCAAAAATAAGGAAAATACCTGTGGAATTTACCTTGAAGTGTTAATGTGAAGCTTTAAAGAGATGGTGTGTGAATCTCAAGATCAAATTAAATGCGTGCTATTATAGTAGTAGTAGTAGTAGTAGTTGTAGTTGCAGTTGTTGTAGTAGAGGAGTAATAATAGTAGCAGTAGTAGTAGTACTATCATTTTGTTCTACAAATATGCATCTACCTTTTAATTTTAATTAGTTGCAAATGTGCGATGTGTGCTAGAAGTCACAGGGAGAATTTGGTTGAAAAGCTAAATGTTGCAAAGCAATTAGAATGTATCTCAGTTGCCTAAATACCAGGATTCTGTGCTAAAAGAGAACTGGGGGAGGATTAAGGAGGTTTGGGTTTTATTTTGAAACCTTTCATTTTTCTGTGTTTCCATGTCCCCATCTGTTAAAGGGGATAATCAGATCTGTTCTTGCTACGTCAGAGGCCTTTGGTAATAGTCCAGCGATGCGAATTTCCCAGGGGAAATCTCTTTGAAAGACTGAATATTTTCTTAACATGCAAGCCTTATGCTTCTCATACATTTATCTCCATGGATCACAACATTTATATTCTGAAACCAAGAAGAATGGAGATTTCAAACATAAGGAATTATGTCCTGCAAACCCAATAATTCAATGTGAGTCAGGAGAATGATGTCAAAACTACACAAGGTAATGAGAGCTTGGGCTATATTAAGAGGCAAAGCTTCCAGGAATAAGGAAGAAACAGGCTAGCTCTCTGTCCTCTGCTCTACTCAGATCAGATCTGAGACATTTAGTTTAGTTTTGGGCGCTATAGTATATGAAGGCTATGCACGGGATGAACTGGAAAGGGTCAAGAAAAGGGTAATCAGGATGGTGAAGGGCTTCAAGTTTATTCATATGAAATGAAAAAATAGAAGTGGGAATAACTGTAGAGAAAAGCAAACCAAGGGAAAATGATAATGCCGTCCAAATATTTGAAGGTTTGACAAGTGAAGAAGGATTGGTCTGGCAATGTTTTGCTTCAGAGGGAAGAACCAAAGAAAAGTCATGAAAGTTGCAAAGAGGATGATTTAGATTCGGTATCAAATACAACAAGAGCAATAATAGCAGTAGCAGCCACAAAACTTCCTAACAATCTGTCATAAAAAATGGAATGAGCTGCCAAAAGCACTAGAGGATACCCTGTCACCAAAGGTCTTTGCTCAAAGAGTGGATGGCCACTTGTCAGGTGTGTACTGGACGGATTAGATGGCCGCTCCTTTCTCCTTCAGCTTTCTCTTTCAATTTTAAATTATGTTCTTGCTTCAGCAAGGTGTGTGTGTGTGTGTGTGTGTGTGTGTGTGTGTGTGTGCTCCCGTGCATGCATGCGTGCACATGCATACGCATGTGTGTGTGCATGTGGAGAGAGAGAGAGAATTAAAGAAACTAGCCTGGCAGCAGAGAAGAGCGTATTTATCAGAATTAATTGAATGATTCTATTATTTTGGACAATGGTGAAGTTGCAGTTAGTAATGAGAATTACGTTTTTGCAGTGAGACTGAGCTTGGTTGTTGTACGAGCTTAAATGCAGGTGCCTGAGGTAATTGGGAAAGTAGTTATTTCAGGATTTGTTGCATTTAAGTTTGTGCGGAAAATTCAGCAAGTTTCTGACATCTGGAGATGAGCTTTGATGTGAGGAGCTGAGCATTTATGCTGGAAGAAGGTGTCACAAAAGTGTAGCCATTTGAAGAGTGTGGTAGAAGAGTCACTTAGGAGAGGCAACCTCCATTCATTTTCTTCTGTCTCAATGTGTGTATGTGTATGTATCTGTATCTGCCACAAAAAAAAGAGCACAGACATCACATTTTAAGAAATTGTAAAAGACAGTTGCCCAGATCTCTTAGAATCAGAGAATAAAGTGGAGATAGAATCCACCAGTCACTTCCTGATAGAAACCTCAAAGTGAAAACTCCTAGGAATGTTATAGACAAAATCCAGAGCTTCCAGGTCAAAGGAAAAAATACTACAAGTAGCTACAAAGGAAGACTTGAAGTACCAAGGAGTCATAGTAGGGATCACACATGATTTAGTAGCCACCACTATAAAGGAACGGATCCACTACATAGCTTGGAAAATGGTATTCTGTGAGGCAAAGAGATAAATGTTGACAGTCAGGAATAACTTACTCATAAAAACTGAGCATAATCCTTCAGGGGAAAAATGGATATTTGGTGAAACTGAGGAATTCCAAGCTTTTCTGATTGGGGCAGGGGAACAGAGCTGTATTGAAACTTTTAAGTTCAAATTACAGTTAAGAGAAATGTAAACAGGTAAACATGAACGAACAATGATAAAGGAATAAACACAGATAAACTTTTTACATTCTAATGCGGGGACATGATACATGTTTCCCTTCTGAACCCTTTCATTTTTAAAGGTTATAGGGTGGAGTCTAATTAGAGGAGGTCTAGAAATAGTTCTATTATCTCTTGATGTGCTTAAGACAAGAATAGAAAAAAAAAAGAGAAAGAGGAATGTACTAGGTAGGAGAGGAAAGAAGATTGGGGAAAATTATCTCAGAAAACCAAAGAGTGTATGTAGGTATCTATACAAACAAAGGGGAGAGGCTGAGGGGAGTGACTGATTATGAACATCATCCTTATCTGAACTGCTCAGTGAGGGAAGAACAAACACATAGAATTATGCACACAAATATATTTCACTTAACAGGGAAAGAAGAGGGAAAGGAGAGAAAGAAGGGTGAATTAAGAGAGAGGTTAAATTAAAGAAAGGAATTTTTGTTGTATCATTTCAATCATGTCTGACTTTTCATGATCCCATTTGAGGTTTTCTTTGGCAAAGGTGCTGGAGTAGTTTGCCATGTCTTTCTGTAGCTTATTTTACTGATAATGAAACTGAGGCAAACATGGCTAAGTGACTTGCCTGGGTTCACACAGCTAGAGGACTTGTACTGAAGCATGCTACCAACCTTCTGGTAAAGAGGTGAAGGACTCATTGCACAATGGTACATTTTTTGGATATGGCTAATGTGGAATTTTCCCCCTTGATTATACATGTTTGTAATAGTGGTTTGATTTCTTTTCTTTTGCTCTGATTTGGGGTGGGGGATGAAGGTGAGTGAGAGAAAGAAGATTTTTGCTGATAAAAATGAATATATTTTTAAAAAGGAAGGAATTGGTATCATTTAGAAATTAGAGACCTTGAAATCTATGAAAAACTATCAAAAATGACAGAATTAGGTAAATAATGAAATTATTCAAATGCCATATCACCACTATTCTTTTTTTTAGAACTATATCATGATCATGGTCATTTTTCCCGTGTCACTTGGAAACTAATTGATAATCAAAGAATGCATCACCTTCCCTTGCACAGCCCGGACATTCATCTTCTCCTTCTTTGAGTTTGTCTTTCCTCACACTTGCCAGCTAGGACTTTCCTGCTGTCATCTACCCACCCATACCTTATAAAAATAATAATAACAAACACTTATATAGCATTTACTGTCAAGCACTGTGATAAGTGATTTACATATATTATTATTTCATTTCATCCTTGCAAGGAAGTAGGTGCTATGATTAACCCCATTTTGCCTACATGGAAACATATAAAGAAAGGTTGTGATTTGCTCAGGGTCATACAGCCAGAAAGTGTCTGAGGCTGGATTTGAACATACGTTTTTCTGATACTAGGCCCAGTGATCTATCCACTGCACTACCTAGCAGTAACACAACTGTCTTTACACTACAAAGACTCTATAGTATCTCCAGATGGTAGCTGAATAATGGCTCAGCTCTGGAACCAGCACCTCCCTTCTCAGCATCATCAGTTATTGTCTCAGCTCTAACACAAATGAGACATTTTTGTATTTGAATTTTTTTTTTAACGGAACAGATTTATTTTCGTGGCTCCCCTAGGCATTTTAGTTTTGTTCTTTGTCTCTGTTTCCTCTACTCATGTTGCATTTTCAGTTTTGATAATTTATAGGGCACCAGCAGATATGGCCAACTTCACCATTGTCACAGAATTTCTCCTATTCGAATTTGCTGACATCCGAGAGCTGCAGGTGTTACATGCAATATTCTTTCTCCTCATTTATTTAGCAACATTAATGGCGAATTTTCTCACCATCACTGCAGTAGTCACTGACCAGCACCTCCATGCTCCAATGTACTTTTTTCTAAGCAATTTATCCCTGTTGGACATCTGTTACATCTCAGTAACTCTTCCCAAATTCATTGTTAACACCTTGATGGGCATTCAATCCATTTCTCTCCTCGGATGTACTGTTCAGATCTTCTTCTTTCTCTTCTTTGGATCAACAGAATTTGCTTTCCTCATGACCATGTCCTATGACCGCTTTGTGGCCATCTGCCACCCCCTGCACTATGGGGTCATCATGAAACCAGCCCGGTGCCTTTGGGCAGCACTTGGCTCATGGCTCACTGGCATTATCTATTCTATTCTGCACATAGGAAACATGTTCCGCTCGCCCTTCTCAGGATCCAATGTGATCCACCAGTTTTTCTGTGATATACCACAGGTATTGCAGGTTGCAACGTCAGATGTTTACAATGCTGAATATCTACTCCTTGCCTTAAGTTCATGTTTTCTATTATTGTGTTTTGCCTTTTTAATTATATCATATGCTCGCATCTTCTCCAGTGTGCTCAAGATCCCCTCTGTGGAAGGACGCTACAAAGCCTTATCTACCTGTTCCCCTCACTTGATTGTCCTTCTCTTATTTCTCCTTTCTGCAATCATTGCGGTCCTGGGGCCAACATCGGACAAGACATCGGTTCAGAACCTTCTTATTGCAATGGCCTACACAGTCCTGCCCTCATTCATGAATCCATCATTTACAGCCTGAGAAACCAGAAGATTAAAGTTGCACTGATTAGGATAATCAGAATGGCATTCTTTCTCAGGAAGACTGTGTCTAACCCTAAGGAAATTAAGAAGACAAGGAATGTGTGGCTGGGGTGTTGAATATACAAGAAGGCACAACAGCTAGATTAAAAATGAACCTGTCAGTCATTTTGCCATTTTGATCCGCAAAATGATTGAAAGAATATACCAAAAAAATCAAAGCTAGGACAATTATTGCATAGAAATGAATGACTGAACCATTTAAAAAATCCTTACTATATAATAGGTGATGCTGCCTATAAACTGACTAATCCATCCAACCATGAGCCCATTTTGCCTTAATGCCAGAAGCAGAGACCTGGGGGGAATTTACTGGAAACAATGGATTCCCATCATATGGGGAATGAATGAATAAACTGGCATATTATATAATGGAATGTTATTGGACTCTAAAAATTGAAAGAGAGAATAACAGACACCTGGGATAGCTTGTGTGAGCTGGTATACAGCGAAATGAACAGAACTAGGAGAACCATTTAGCAAAGACTATAGCATTACAGAGGAAAATAATGTGAAAGATGACTGATGCAATGAGTAAGCATGACTCCAAATGACTGATGATGAAGCTCGCGGCCGGCGGCTGCCGATCGAAGCGGCCGTGGCCGCTGTCGATGTGGCCCAAGACGCCCACGTTCACGTTCACGTTCACTCGCTGCCCGGCCGTGGCGTTGTCCGCGCTGCCGGCGCTGCCCGGGAGATCGCCTGGACCCACCCGCAAAGCGGCCCGTAGCAGCGCCGCCCGGGCTCACCCGTTCTGGCCCGGCCTCAGCCCCGCCCGCCCGCCCGCGGCCCCGAGCCGCTGGCTCCGCGCTCAGACCCTCCCAGCCCTGAGTCTGGACATAAAACTTGCACTCAGTCTAAAGGCCTCACCCGAGGACCTAGAAGGCCACGTGTGGCCTGGAGGACCCAGGTTCCCCACCCCTGACTTAGTTGAAACAATGTAGCAAAACTGTAGGAAATAAAATTGTTGTTGTTCAACTATGACTTTTTGTGACCACATTTGGGGTTTTCTTGGCGGAGGTACTGGAATGGTTTGCCATTTACTTCTCCAGCTAATTTTACAGATGAGGAAACTAAGGCAAACCGGATTAAGTGACTTGCCCAAAGTTACATAGCTAATAATTGTCCTAGGCCAGATTTGAAATTAGGAAGATGTCTCCCTGACCCCACTGGCATTGTATCTACTGTACCATCTAGCTGCCCTATAGAGCGATTTTCCTTACTAATTTCTTCAAGTTCTTTGAAATCTTCGATATGCAGATCAGGAGACTCTTAAACATTTTTATTTAACATTCAGTTAGGGGAAAGGAAACGCTCACAGAGTGTCTATGAATGGTTTGGTGAAAGTCAAGACTGAGCCATTACACACCATCACATATTTTTGGTTCTCCAAGCTTCCTCATAGGTTGGCACCAGGCAGAGCAAATTGTATAAGCTTCATGGATTGGGCTACTCTCAACCAGTTCCTCATTACCTAAAATTTACCGAAAAAGATTGGTGGTAAATCTATCTATGTATCCATGTTTCTATCTGTCATCTATTTATATCTATCACGTATCTTTTTTCTCAGCATCCTTTTATTTGTACTTTTTGTTTGTCTTTCACTATTTATTTGCAAATTTATCAAAAATAATTTCCAGAATGATGAAATTTCAGGGATGTAAGGTACCTTAAAGGTTATCTAATACAACCAATACCTGAAAAGTAAATCTTGCTAAAATGTATGGTGAATTTCTGCCCAGGTGACCCATCTCATATAGTCATAACATAAATAGTTATGTAATTTTCCCAACTTCAAGGCTAAATTTGCATCTCCATAGGCTTCTTATATTGTTTCCATGTCAACCTCACAAGCCAATGTAACAAGTCAAATCACTTTTATCTGACAACAATTTAAATACTTGAAGCCAGACACCATTCTTCCTTCTCCTCATCCCTCCCTTTCCTTTTCAGGATTCTGCTCTTAAGGAAACATTCTCACTTCCTTAAATTAATCCTTATCTGTCTTGGATAAGATCTATTCACTATCCTGGTAGCCCTACGCTAGATGCTGTCCAAGTTATCAATATCCTTCTTATACTGGGGCACCCAGAATTTGTCATGGCACTCCAATTGTGGTCTGGACAGGGAAGATTATAGTGGAATTTTCACCTCTAGCTATCCTTTAGCTAAATATACTTTCTCTTTTCTTTTCCTTTCTTTTCTTTATTTTTTCTTCTTCTCATTGCTTCTGTTTTTTCTTAACTCAAATAAACTCCAGTGACTCCCTATTGGCTCCAGGATCAAAGGCAAAATGCTCTGTTTGACATTTAAAGGCTTTCATAACCTACCCCCCCCACTTTTCCAGTCTTCTTATACATTAGTCCCCAACACACACTTTTTACATACACCGGCCTCCTGGATGTTCCACAAATAAGACACTCCATCTATTGAGTCTGGGCATTTTCTTTGGCTGTTCTGCCCTCTCCTCTCCCCCCATGCCCAGAATGCTCTTCCTCTTCCACTACAGTTACTGATCTCCTTGGCTTCCTTTAAATCCCAAATAAAATCCCACCTTCTACAGAAAGCCTTCTCCAACCCTTCTTAATTCTAGTGCCTTCCCTCTGTTAATTATCCCCTACTTATTTCCTGTTAGATTGTAAGCTCCTTGAAGGCAAATACTGTCTTCTTTTTTTTTATATGTATCTTCTGTGCTTACCACAGTGCATGTTACATGGTAATTACTTAATACGTGTGTACTGACTGTTGACTCTGTATTTCCCAATGCAATGTTGAATATTTTCTAGTCTTTGTTTCTGAATTCCTAGATTAAAATGATGGTTCTTCTGCTTTCTAGTCATGTGGTCTTGGTGAAATCATGTAACTTTTATGATTATTATTTTCCTTTTATGTAAAATTATTATGAAAAGATGCCCATCCATACTTGTGTTGAGAGCATGAAATGATGAACATCAAGATGATTTATGATAATAAAATTTTATGCACATTGTTATTTTTTATTATGTTACATAAATAAGATCTTCATGTTAGCTTTTTTTTTTCTTTCAGGAATCATGATTCAGATTTATCGCCTGCAAGCTCTGGATCTTTTTGCAGACTGAAGAAATTAAGAGAACTGGCAGACTGTGCTCTTAATTGGTGGGCATAAATATTCCTCTCACCACAAAGTACAGTTTTAGCTATGGTATAGCCAAAGTGTGTATTGTTACCTTACATTCAAGACATGATTTTGAAGCTACTAGGCTAATTCACTGGTGGGCTGGACCCTGTTCAGGGTCCATATTTGTCATATCTAGTAGCTCTGATAAACTTTAGGCATTGACAAAGCCAAAGTGTGGGGCATTCTATTTTATTACTTGTTCACTTAGGTGATGGGAAGGACAAATGTAAAGAGGCAAAGAAACAATGTTCACAGCCTTGGCTCAGCCCCTGTCAGGGAGAGTAAGCCTTGAAGTCTTTTTCAGTCCAGAGGCTCACAGCATTTCTTCCTTTACTCATAATCAAGAAAGAGAGCTCAGGTTTCTCCTTTGGAATCTTTTGTATAGTCTCTCATTTCTAAGGAATTTTCAGCAGCCAACAAAAAACCTTTCTCCGCCATGTATTAAGTAGACCAGAAACAGACACAAGAAACCTATGCAGTTTCTGAATCTCGGATAGGTCAGTTCAATTACAAACAATCAAACACTTTGAGAAGCCAGTACAAAAAGCCCCCTACCCCCACCTTGCAGTGCTGAGAGCAGATGTAGCCCCGAAACATCCTTTTAAGACTAAACTTCATTTTAGGCAGTTTCTGTGATATCAATAAGCAAATTAAACAGATGCCCATAATTGATCTGCCTTGAAAGAAAGAGCCAATTTCTCTGGGGGAAATAGAATTTCCTTTAGTCTTTCAGGGTTGATGTGAGTCTGGCTTCTCTAATAGTGTTTTTACAAAAGTGCTCTAGATTTGGATTCTGAGGACCAGGATAAAGAAAACCCTGCTTTCAGCATTTTCTAATTGTATATTTTATTTCATTCAGAGCAAGCATGAAACAAGAGCTTAGGAGGATGGCTTGTGGGGTATAGTCCACATGATTTCTGTTGAAAATTTTTGTTGGAATGTCTTTGTGTGCATATAACGTGTGGGCATTTGCACAAGAGATATAGTATCATTCTTTTTTTTTGACATTTGCAACAAAATTAATTGAAAATGCTTGAATGTAAAATTAAAGAAATTACATGAAATTGAATTTGTAACAGAGAACTGATCAACATAAGCACGTCAAATAATAAAAATTTCTAGATACTAATGATGGTTAATAAAGAAAATATACAAATGGTATAACTTCTTATTGTTTGATATAACACAGTTTGAAGATGAGCACCTTTAGGGGAATTAAGGTTCCCTAGTCATTTTATTTTTGAGAGACCTAAATTGGAGCTTTATGGAAGCAGACATAGGAAGCAGCAAATTGGCATAGTCTGTAGACAAATGAGCCTTAAGTCAGGAAGACCTGAATTCAGATCCAGACTCAGATGCTTACTAGCTGAGTGACTATGGAGAGTCATTTAACCTTTGTTTGCCTCAGCTTCCTCAATTGTAAAATGGAGATAACAATAATAATTACCTCTCAAATTGTAAAAATCAAATGCGATAATATTTGTAAAGGATTTAGCTCTGTGCTTGGCATATAATTATGGCTTGCCTATTGAAGGAATTAATTTTTGATCTTATATTTTACATTTAATAATATTCTGTCAAACCTAAAGTCTCTTCTATGAGGTTTGAGTGGAGAAGCTTATGTGTGCTTAAGCTCAGCCTCTCCCTTTCTGAAGAGAGATGTCAAGGATACATTTGCTACTAGTTAAAGAAAAACTGTTTTCAATACTTTCATAAAACATTGTCCTAACATTTGCTGCAAGATTCTGTGAGGTATCCCTGAAAAGTTAGGACAACCTGACCTTGTTCCATCTTTAACAATTAAGGTACTCTTATCAAATTTCCTAGTCACCAGTCAGTTTGCTCTTATCAGGGACCTCAGGATGTAGCTGGGACTCATAAATTTACAAAGCATTTCTTAGAGGTAGAGAGAGGTGGTCCTCATAGCATGTGGGGGCTATGCCCCCTTCCTTTGATGCAGACAATAATGATCTTCCATCTCTGTGATACTGGCCAACTAGATAATTTCTGTTCCATTCTGGTCTTCTATGCTTACAAAAATATAGTGCACCATTAATTTAGGGTCTTTTGGCCAGAGATGGAGCCATTAGATCTATCCTTTATTATCTAATTGCATGCCTCTTATAATAAATGATATCTAGCTCAGAGATTTGCCTCAGTTTATCCTTCTGGTAAATTCCAATTGTGGCACTATCTTAGCTCCCAAGAAGCAAAGAACTTGGCCATTATCAATTGATCACAAAGCAACCTTTACAAACATCTTCATCATCAACCAATAAAATCTTCCTGGGGTGTCTGATTCTACTGGTTGTAGGCAAACAGCTAAATATTTAATATTGTAAATTTCATTTTAATTGTTTAAAATTGAGGTAATGGTAAATAATAATAATTTCTCATCCTAGAAGAATGGCATTGTAGATTTTACCCTGGTCAATTCTAGAACAGGAGTTCTTAAACTGAGGTACATGGCACTTTTAGAGGTCTTTTTGTAGAGTTCATGATGTTTTCAGCATGTTGTCAGATCCCTTCAACAAAGATGAAAATGGCATCAAGGTCAATTACCACACTGACAATAAATTATTTAACTTGAAAAGGTCACAAGCCAAGATTAAAGTAGAGGGAGAGTTAGTAAGTGATTCTCTGTTTGCAGAGAATGTGCTCAATGCAACCTCTGAAGCTGAGGTAAAATAAAATTGGGTAAATGGAAGCTAATGACTCCATGGGACATTA